TCCACCATTATTTCTTTAAATAATTCTTCAAAAGTCTGAGCACCACTGTTGAGTGCATACTACCAAGACTTTACTTGTTTTCTGTAACCCTAGTGACAGTGATCTGTTTATGATTCCATCAGGTCCTTAACAAAGTAAAAAAAAAAAAAAAGCAGCTGTTTAATGTATAACACAGGATGAAAACAGCAACACCAGAGTAGCAACCCTGAAAAGAAGCATTAAAATTTTCACCTCCATTTTAAGTCGACTTTAAAAACTTCCAGGAGAATGAAACACATACAACAGGAGAGAACCCTTTTGCAAATACAGAAAAAATTAAAATGAGAAGGAAAAGCTGGGTAATCTGCTGACTACTTTTGACTTTCATTTTCTTTTGTCATTCTTTAAGAAATTTGAGAAAGTCTTCTGCATCAGACTCACACACTAGTGTGTAAAAAAAAATCCTCCTTGGCCCAGGCGCGGTGGTTCATGCCTATAATCCCAGCACTTTGAGAGGCTGAGGTGGGAGGATCACATAGTCAGGAGTTCGAGACCAGCCTGGCCAGCATGGTGAAACCCCATCTCTAAAAATACAAAATAAAACAAAAAATTAGCTAGGCATGGTGGTGCTACTTGGGAGGCTAAGGCAAGAGAATTGCTTGAACCCAGCAGGAGGAGGTTGCAGTGAACAGAGATGGCGCCACCACACTCTAGCCTGGGCAACAAAGCAAGACGCTGTCTCAACAACAACAAAAAATCCTGATTGAGTTGACTATGAAACAGTAAACATAACGTGGAGTTGTAAATGGAATTTATTGGAGCCCATATTTGAGATGGCTTTAAAGATAAAACTAAAACAACCTAAGGCCAGACATAGTGGCTCAGAACCTGTAATCCCAGCACTCTGGGAGGCTGAGGCAGGCGGATCAACTGAGGTCAAGAGTTTGCGACCAGCCTGGCAAAATCTCATCTCTACTAAAAATACAAAAATTAGCTGGGCGTGGTGGTGCATGCCTGTAATCCCAGCTACTGAGGAGGCTGAGGCAGGAGAATGACTTGAATCCGGGAGACGAAGGTTGCAGTTAGCTAAGACCATGCCACTGCACTCCAGCCTGGGCGAGGCGACAGAGCAAGACTCTCTCTCAAAAAAAAAAAAAAAACAAACCTAAAACAGGCTGGGCACAGTGGCTCATTCCTATAATCCCAGTACTTTGGGAGGCCAGGCAGGGAGAATCATGAGGTCAGGAGATCAAGACCATCCTGCCTAACACAATGAAACTCTGTCCCTACTAAAAGCACAAAAAATTAGCTGGGTGTGGTAGCCAGCGCCTGTAGTCCCAGCTGCTTGGGAGGCTGAGGCAGCAGAATCATTTGAACTTGGGAGGCAGAGGTTGCAGTGAGCCAAGATCGTGCCACTGTACTCCAGCCTGAGTGACAGAGCAAGACTCCATCTCAAAAAAGTCAAATAAAACAAAACTAAAACAATTTTTTTGTCACTTAAAAGCCCTTTTAAGGTCTACCTTATAAATGCTGTAAACAGTGAGACAACTGTCAAAGTCCCATGGGCCAAATATTTCCAAAGAGAATCATGATGCTCAAACTCCCCGAAGTCTCATTTAATAATTACAGTACCAAGCATCCAAGATACCTTTTCACAACAAATCCATTCATTACAAATCATTATCCAGAAACATTTTACCTACTGGGTAGCCAACAATGTTTCCTTTATCCAGAAAAATAAACATTCTACATGAAAAGAAAACAAGCACAGGAGATGTATGTATACGTGCCTGTATCTTTGATGGTCAAAGCTACTTTAGCAAAAACCATCTAAACTGGACACCAAAGCCAAAGATTCAATAATCTGGGAATGTCAAAATCTTCTGGGCCACCAACCTGACAGCTAAAATACAAGCCTTGTTTAACTCCTAACACTCCATGCTGGTTTCTCTATTGTGACAGCCACCCTGTCCACCGTCTTCCTGGACCATCTCCATCCACTTCATGCTTAAGTAAAGAAAACACCAGTGCTACACCAGGCAAGGAAAAACCTAGTTTCTCCTAAGCTGTTAGGCATATTCATCCTCCTGTGGAAAACACAATGTAGGCAGCCTACTATCTCTCTCAAATGTTCCCATGGCTTCAGTCTACACTAAACTTGTTTCTCACACCAGCCAGAAAATATTTATACCACTCAACTTACAGTCATATACTACTTTGCACTATTGCTTGACTTTTTTACATATGCTTGTCTCAAGGTCCCAAAGACTCAAAAAGCTACTTAAAGGCAAAGACCAGGTCCTTCGTTTCTTTAGCGCTGTGCATCTGATCCAAAGCCCACCTCATTAGTTGAGAATATTAGTATTCTCAACTAATATTCAGTTATAGGAAAAATTATAATCCACAAGGACCTTTATTTTGTTGCTGCTGCTGTTTTTGAGACGGAATCTCACCCGGTGGCCCAGGCTGCAGTGCAGTGGCACCAACTCCGCTCACTGCAACCTACACCTCCCAAGTTCAAGCATTTCTCTTGCTTCAGCCTCCCCAGTCGCTGGGATTGCAGGCGTGCACCACCACGCCGGCTATTTTTTGTATTTTTAGTAGAGACGGAGTTTCACCATGCAGGCCAGGATGGTCTCCTGACCCCAGGAGATCCACCCACCTCAGCCTCCCAAAGTGCTGGGATTACAGGTGTGAGCCTGAAGGTCCTTTAGAGATGTCCTAGTCCAGGCGTTCCCAGACTTTTTACACAGGGGACCAGTTCACTGTCCCTCAGACCGTTGGAGGGCCGCCACATACTGTGCTCCTCTCACTGACCACCAATGAAAGAGGTGCCCCTTCCTGAAGTGCGGCGGGGGGCCGGATAAATGGCCTCAGGGGGCCACATGCGAGGGCCATAGTTTGGGGACCGTAGTTTGGGGACGCCTGTCCTAGTCTAAGCTCCACATTTGAAATGATGTAGGTGAGAGTCATTAACCTTTTACAGTCCAATCAATCAGGCAGATCTGGTTCAAATGCAGGACTGTTTTCTCTTCTGTAAAACAGAGATGACACCTACCTGAGAAAACAGTTGTAATAATCAAATTACAGCTTCCTTTTGTTGTTTTTCTTGTGAAGGCATAATCCTTTTGGTTGATTTTTTTCCTGGTTAATAGTTCAATTGAATTCTAAGCCCAAGAGGCAGGGCTTTTTTCCTACTTTTTCTGACCTTACGGTTGGTGTCCAATACAGTGCTTGGTGTCTTTTGAGTGAGCCATGAACTAACCATGTGAAAGAATGCATTAAACCTCTATTATCACTTTGTTGTTCAGCAAATGTGTTATTCTTTAGTTCCTTTAAGAAATCTGTCTTTCCTCTTTCTTGCTCAGCAAATGTGTTATTCTTTAGTTCCTTTAAGAATCTGTCTTTCCTCTTTCTTGTTCAGCAAATGTGTTATTCTTTAGTTCCTTTAAGAATCTGTCTTTCCTAAACTGGGCCTTCTCAAAACAAATATACTCTCTACCCCTTTCTCTCTCTCTCTCTCTCTCTCTCTCTCTCTCTCTCTCTCTCTCTCTCCACACACACACACACACACACACACACACACCCCTTTCTCTTTAAAACAGGTGGGAGAAAAAAATTGCCTCTCATATTTTTGGAATGAAGTTAGCGTTTTTACTAGGATATTCAGGAAAACTGATGGAGAGACAGGATTTAGAGGGATTACACCTCTCTGGAGAGCTTTCTTATGATTTGCAGCATTAAGTCCTTCAATAAAATTACTTGTCTATAACAAATTCTGGCAGAAAGTAAATCAGAAATTTACTGATGAGTTGTCAGTGAAGGTAAATGCTTCGCTCTGTGTACTTCACGCTGTTCTATGAAAGCAAACAGTGACTAATAGGATTAACCTGAGTTCTAATACTGAGTGTAGATATTCTTCAACGACAAACGGGTTCCATTAGTACAGGCATTAAATTTATACTATATTTAAGGGAGCATAAATTTTGCTTTTGCAAACACATTTTACTAGAAAAAAATATTTGGTCCAGACGCCGGGAGAAAAGTGTCATTTCTTTCCTTGGCAAGAGGGCACCGACAAAACAACCAATGGGGAGGAAGAATACGTTCCCAGACCTCTGAAGAGGACACAGGTTTCCACTAAAGTAAGGTTGATACTTTCAAGGAATATTTTTCCTAACAGCTAAAATGGTTTAACATATAGCATCTTGTATCAATTACACATACACTATTAAAGCCACTCTGGTTCCCTGGAAAAGGACAGCAACTGAAATCCCTTCTGGCTTCAGCTGTCTCCTCCCGCCGAGTTTGACAGCACATCCAAGGCGCCCAAACACCAGCCACTAGGCTCCCCCCAGCGCCCTCCTCTCGCAGCAAACCGCCAAGACTACCGGGCCAAACTCCAAAGTCCCTTAATTCAAAACCGCGAAAATGTGAACCCTGCTAAGCAAACGGCAGGGCGCGTAATAACTTTTCTTTCTTTCCTTTTTGCGCGCATTCGATATGCTTGTCTCTACTAACAACTCCTCAGGTCCACAGCCTGCTTCCCGCAACCTATCTCGAGGGGCGGAGGAGAGGGAGCGCGCCCACCAAAGACAGGTCTGGTGAGCCCTAAAACCTTTGCGGTTTTCCCAGTGCGGGAACTTAAGCACACATCAGCCCCCTAATAATCAGATGCAGGGATAAATCTGGAAGAAGGTGCCTCTCTCCATCGCACCCCATCCTTCCTAAGGAAGAAGAGAAGCGTGTAGCAGGAGTTTAGCCGCAAGTCTGGGCCCTCTTACGGGGCAAGCAGGCCTGCAGAGCACGCTGTCGGGAACCCGGTGGAAGAAAGTTGTCCGGCCAAGTGGATGCCTCGGCGTGAGTGAGTGCAAGGCACCCGGGGTAGGGACCAAGGGGAAAGAGACCGGCATTCGTTTAAGAACCAAGCCCGTGCGCGGCCAGCTGCAGCCGCCGGCGAGCCGACTGGGGAGGGGTGTGGACGCCAAGGCCGGCGGATCTGCGCCCGCAGCTCTACTTACATAACGCTTCAACTTTTTCTCCGGGGGAGACTTTCGGAGCCATCCGGAGCAGACCACTTCGCCGCCGCTCATGGTGGCGCGCGTCTCGGGCTCCCGGCCGGGCAGCAGAGGGGCGGCGGGCGCGCTCCCGACACAGCCGAAGCCTGTCGAGCGCGCAGCTGCCAGAACCTCGCTCTCTGGGTCGCGCACTCCGGGCCGACGGGGCGGACGGGCTCCAAGGCGCGGGGGTTCCTGGAGTTCAAGTCTCCTCTGCAGGCCGGCGAGTCTGAACAGAACGCGAGCCGGGGCGGCGGGCGCGCCGGCCTCCTTTCAGGGTGCCCGCCTCGCCTTCAAGGGTGCCGTCTCGCCAGCCGCCTCAGCAGCGCTCCGACTCAGCGGGACTCTGCCCCGACTCGGAGTCGCAGCCGCGGTCCCTCGCGCTCCGCCCCCTAGGGACTAGACCTCCCCAGAGCGCTTTCCGAAACAGACACAGCCCGGCTCACGCACACACAGACACAATGCCCCGCGCGGTGCCCACTCTCGCTCGCCCGCCCTCCGTCTCGGTGCGCCCGGGCGATCCTCCTTCCCCCTCCTAGGGTGGGTCACTTCTTGGCTCACGAGGAACACCGTGGACAGGGGAAGCCGCGAGCCGCCCGCGGGCAGCCGGCGCGGGGCTGGTCCCGGTCACAGAGGGAGCCGCAGCGTTGGCGGCGAAGCGCCGGGCGTCTCTGAGCCGCGGGCGCAGGGAGGTCGCAGGTCGAGCCGGAGGGTGGGTCCGCTCTCGCGGCCGCCGAAGAGGGCGGGGAGCGGGTTGGCTCCTGGGAGGGATCCCGCTGTCCCGTTCCCTCGCGCTCCTCCCCCGCCGCCTCCCCCACCCCGGGGCGCGCGGCAGGTTCTGAGCCGCTCGGCCCCAGATCGCGATCCCTCCCTCTCCCGGCCTCCGAGCTCCCTCTTCCTCCCTTTCCTCCTCCCCTTCCCACGTTCAGGCCCGGCTCAGGTTTCTGCCCAGACTTTCTCTGAAACTCCGCCGGAGCGCTTCCAGCCAAAACAACAAGGGCCGGGGGAGGAGGCGGACGAAGGGAGGGAGCGAGAGAGGGAGGGAGCGCGAGTCCGAGAGGCACCCTGGGATCTGTAGTTCGGACCGGAGCAGGGTCCTCCGCCGTCCCGCGGCCCCCGGCCGGCTCATCGCCCGGGAAGACGGCAGAGGCCTCGGCTAGGGCAGAGGCACCGGGCTCGGGGGCGGGGAGGACCGAGGGACTTTCGAATGTTTACCCGGGGTTTGCCATCTTGACTCAGCCCGGGTGCCAGTTCGGAGTTTGTGCTGCGCCCGAGACCAGGAGTTTCGGGGTTTTCTCTACTTGACAGCCTGAAAAGCAAAACCCACAGGAGACCACCATCCTGCCGGTGCCCGCTGCGCGAGACTAAAGGACAGACCAAGAGGGCCCGGGTGCTCCCAGCTTGGAGGGGAGGACAGATGGGGACCCACCAGGGCTGGCCTGGGCTGGTCTCTGGAGCCGTCGGGCCAGAGTGATGGGGGCGCTTGGTGGGGCCAAGGATCTGATTGGGTCCTATCTCTGGGACATTTTGAAGTCTCACACTCCCTCCATTTGTTGCCTATTTCTTCCACTTAACTTTGTATTTGTTTGAAATCTACTGTTGGGATGCTGGGCCGGGCGGGAAATTGGGCCGGGCGCGATGGCTCATGCCTATCATTCCAGCATTTTGGGAGGCCCTGGCGGGCGGATCACCCAAGGTCGGAAATTCGAGACCAGCCTCGGGAATTCGGGATCAACATGGAGAACCCAGTCTCTACTGAAAATACAAAATTAGCCAGGTGTAGTGGCGGGTGCCTGTAATCCCAGCTACTCAGGAGGCTGAAGCTGGAGAATCGCTTCAACCTGGGCTGCGCTCCAGCCTGGGCAACAAGAGGGAAACTACGTCTCAAAAAAAAAAAAAAAAAAAAAAAAAGAAAGAAAAGAAAAGAAAAAAAAAGAAAGAAAGAAAAGAAAAAAGAAAAGGGAAACTTATTGGGTGCCCTAGTTCTATTTGCCTACTTGTGTGTTTCACAATTATTGTACCTGGTCCTGAGTTTAACATGATTCTATAATAGAAACATCTTCTCCAATTTATTTATGAAAAACAAAGCCCCAAAGCAAATTTCAGAAGATCATATAATCAGATAAAAGTGCTAAAAATATGAGGAGATAAATGAACATTTCTGGAAAGATGTAACTTCAGTCATTTTCTTATTAACACAACATTCATATTCTGGAGCTCTTCTGAGTTTGAAAATGTTAGATGAATGTAATCAGAAATTAGGTACTGGAGTGGTGACAAGACAAAGATCCCTGCATATATGGAGATAGTGGCATAGGGAAATAAACAAATAAAGGGCCCACAAAACTACAGATTGCTCTAAAAATGTGCCCTGAGGGAAATTGACAAAGTGAGATGAAACAAAAATTGAGGTGGGGAAAGGGACTCTTTTGTGAGGATGTATGTAACCAGGGACTTGAAAGAGGTCGTAAAGAAAAAAAGGAGAATCAGACTTGTTTTCTCCACCAATAAAAGGAATAACCCTTTAAAGGAGAACTGAAAGTGAAAAAAAAGCAGCAACAGGATTACTTAATAGTGAAGCCAGGACTGAGCACAGTGGCTCAAGCCTGTAATCCCAGCACTTTGGGAGGCCGAGGCGGGTGGATCACGAGGTCGAGAGATCGAGACCATCCTGATCAACATGGTGAAACCCCGTCTCTACTAAAAATACAAAAAAGTAGCTGGGCATGGTGGCGTGTGCCTGTAATCCCAGCTACTCAGGAGGCTGAGGCAGGAGAATTGCCTGAACCCAGGAGGCAGAGGTTGCAGTGAGCCGAGATCGCACCATTGCACTCCAGCCTGGGTAACAAGAGCGAAACCCCGTCTCAAAAAAAAAAAAAAAAAATAGTGAAACCAGAAGGAGACCCATGGGAACCTGGAGGCGAGGATAGGGAAGAGTTCTGAGGAGGGATGAGGGAGGTTGCTAAATTGTGAAACTCCAGTCCTCTAAGCTGAAACTTTGGTAAGAGCCACTCCATTGCACTATCATGAATGGGCGTCATTCAGTAACTTTCCATTAGGTTAATATCTTCTTTACTCTCATCAGTGTCAGAGCGTACCTTGAAATTAGAAGTAAGTTATTAACAGAAAATAAAGCTGGTATTCCAATGCTATCTTCAGCTTATATAACAAGTATCATTAATAGAAAATACATCTGAGGCCGGGCGTTGCTCATACCTGTAATGCCAGCACTTTGGGGGGCCAAGGTGAGTGGATCACCTGAGATCAGGAGTTCGAGACCAGCCTGGCTAACATGGTGAAACCCTGTCTCTATTAATAAAAATACAAAAATTAGATGGGTGTGGTGGTGAGCACCTATAAACCCATAATCCCAGCTACTCAAGAAGCTGAAGCAGGCAAATCACTCGAACCCGGGAGGTGGGGGTTGCAATGAGCAGAGATTGGATCACTTCACTCCAGCCTGGACAACAGAGCTATGCTCTGTCTCAAATAAATAAATAAATAAATAAAGGAAAGGAAAAGAAACGGAAAGAAAAAAAAAAAGACAGGACGACATCGGAAAAAGCCTGGTTCCCACTGGGGTTTAGAGACCTTAATCTTTTGGCAGGTACCTTACAGTATCACGAGGGCTGAACTTCTTGCAGATCTGGATGTACTTTTCAAGTCATCAACTTAATAGTCATCACCTTGGGTAAATTACACAATGTCTCTGAGTCTCAGTTTCCCGATATGTGAAATGGGAATTGTAACACCAAGTTTGCAGACATTTAATGAAAAATAGAAATGGTAGTGTTGGCCAGGCTCAGTGCTCACTCCTGTAATCCTAGCACTTTGGGAGGTCAAGAAGGGGGGATCGCCTGTGCTCAGTAGTTCGATACCAGCCTGGGCAACATGGTGAAACCCCTGTCTCTACTAAAATACAAAAAATTAGCTGGGCATGGCAATGTGCGCCTGTAGTCCTAGCTACTCTGGAGGCTGAGGCAGGAGAATTGCTAGAACCCGGGAGGTGGAGGTTGCAGTGAGCCAAGATCGCACCACTGCACTCCAGCCTGGGCGACAAGAGTGATACTCGTCTCAAAAAAAAGAAAGAAAGAAAGAAGGAAAGAAAGAAAGAAAGGAAGGAAGGAAGGAAGGAAGGAAGGAAAATGGTAGTGTTGGCCATGTGCAATCACTTGCACTTGTAATCCTAGAACCTTTGGGAGGTCTAGGTGAGCAGATCACTTGAGGTCATGACTTCAAGACCAGCCTGGCCAATGTGGTGAAACTCAGTCTCTACAAAAAACACAGAAATTAGCCAGGTGTGGTGGTGTGCCTGTAGTCCCAGGTACTTGGGAATCGCTTGAACCTGGGAGGAGGAGGTTGCAGAGAGCCGATATCGTGCCACTGCACTCTAGCCTGTGTGACTGAACCAGACTCTGTCTCAAAAAAAAAGAAAGAAAGAAAGAAAGAAATGGTAATGTTTAAATATCAGGCATATATTAGATGTTGGAGGATTTTTGCTGTTTGTTGCTGTATTTCTTAATGTTCTTTATGAAACATAAGCAAGTGTAATTTTTATGGCAAATAAACCATTAACATCTCTTTTTAAGTATGTGAACAAATGCCACAAATCTTCCAAATGAAAATAAGCCATCAAATTTGTTTTCTACTTCTCCCATAGCCAGAGTGTATCTACATTGAGCCAAAAGTATTTATAATTAGCATTAGTAAGACTAGAACTGTTGAGTAGTTAACTGTTGGCTTTAGCAAATTTGCTACTTCCTACACTCTTGTTATAAAGTCCTTTGCAAATGGAAAATTGTAATATATCTTATATTATTTAGCTTTGGGAATTTCCAATAATTTTTTTCTTTATTTCAAATAAGGCATTCAGTTATTTTTCCTATCTTGTACTTAGTTGTTTTAGACTTGAATTTCTAATTAAATCATAGTTGAAGAGAGATTGAAGATAGATGTGTCTGCATGTATATATTTTAGAAAGAAAACTTGCCTTATTTTCATATGTCATTTTTAGATTATTTGTTAAATCATATTTTATATCTTTATATCTTAAAAGTCATGCTGGAAAAAGTTATTATAGATAAGTATTTTAAATTTTATTTACAACAAATATTTATGGGATTCCTATTATATGTCAGTCCCTGAGGACCAGGGGTATAGCAGACCTGTTCCTGCACTCCTCTTTCCTGGAGAAGAGCTTTTGCAGATTACTAACCCCATCATTTCTGCAATACAGTTGATAAATACTATGGAAGAAAATATAGTATTATTTGGGCATATAATAGAGGATGTCCCCCCCCCCACCCCACCTAAGAGTAGGGTGGTAGGTTGGGAAGGACTTCCCTGAGGAAAATACCTTTTTTTTCTTTTTTGAGACACAGTCTCACTCTGCCACTCAGCTTGGAGTGCAGCGGCATGATCTCGGCTCATTGCAACCTCCACCTCCTGGGTTTAAGCTATTCTACTGTCCCAGCCTCCCAAATAGCTGGGATTACAGGGACACACCACCATGTCAGGATGATTTTTGTGTTTTTAGTAGAGATGGGGTTTCACCATGTTGGTTAGGCTGGTCTTGAACTCCTGACCTCAGGTGATCCACCTGCCTTGGCCTCCCGAAGTGCTGGGATTACAGGCAAGAGCCACTGAGCCCAGCCAGGAAAACACTTTAAACTGAGATCCTCAGGATAAGAAGAAGTTGGCCTGGTGGATGTAGTAAGAGAGAATATTCCAGAAAAAGAGAAGGTGCTAGGTGTACAAGTCTTCAGTCTGGAAGGAGCTTTTAAGGAACTGAATGAAGGCAGCAATGAGGTGAATGAAAGAGATTGGCACTGGCTGAGGTACAGAGGCGGGCAAGGAACAGATTGTGTAGGTCCTTGGAAATCATCTTCAGATTTAGACATTTTCTTAAAGTACACCATCTTTTTTTTTTTTTTTTTTTTTTTTTTTTTTGAGACGGAGTTTCGCTCTTGTTACCC